ACATTACCGCAGTCCAATCCTTCTCCCCCTTTCCTTTTTCATTTCTCTCCCACTTCCCTTCCTTTTTCATAATTCTCATATTTTATTCCTACCTAATCTATGTCAACCATTTTCTATTTTTTTCCTTTCCTAAGTATTACCTATTATATTTATAAATTCTCATTATATACATGAGTTGTCGGGTGTTTTAGGGTTCAAATTTTGAAGATGGGTGGATGATTTGAGTGTTTTTTTTTTTTTTTTTGAAGTGTTCTTCCCTTCTGAGGGTTGTACCCGACAATAAAAAGGTTCTCCGGTTGTAGCTAGTCCTAGATGGTGACTGTCTCCAAGGATCCGGCTAGTGCTCCGGCTGAAGCTCGTCCTCAACGAGACATCTATCATTCCATAACCCCCTCTAGGCCCCTTCTAGCAATCGCAAAACCATCCTCTCTGTTGTCCAGATCCCGTCATCCGCCTTCAAGCAACTGTCCAGATCCCACCATCTGCTTCCATTGTAGTCCAGCCTTCTGACTGGTGTCCGGATAACGCATCCCTCTTCAGGTTGTTGCTCAGCATTTCGGTTGTTGTCCAGACCACGCAATCCCCCTTCCGACTGCTGTCAAGACTATCGGCGACTTCTCCTACCTACCGCCCGGACTTCCAACCACCGGTTTTGCAACTCCAGAGTCGCAGCCATCCCGCTACCAACATGAACAATGCTCGCCTCATGTCCTCCATACTTGTCGCCATCTAGAGAGGGCTACTTCTGTCTTGTGTTATTTCCTTTGTCTTATTTATGCCTTCATTATTGCTTGTTAGAGTTTAAATGTGTTGTTTATTTCATGTTCACAAAACTCTCGTTTGTATCATTTTGAATTCAATGATAATAATTGTGCTTTTCATGGTGGTTTGGGCTTCCTCTGATATCATCTACTACAATAACTTTATAGAAAACTATGAGATTAGGAGGGAGGATATTCCAATTTGTGTATAAAAATGATTAAAATTTTTGAGGTAAAAATACTACCCCCAACACAATGAACAGATGACCAATCTCAATTAATCTCCCTAAATCAGGTAAATATGCAGAAAAATGAATAGCTAAATAATTTTAGAATCACATATTTGGAACAAGATGCAATGACGCTAATAGAAAACTTCCAATGAATTTACCATTAGTCTTAAGCTAGATAATAAAATTGAGGTTGAAATTTTGGATCCCCGATTTATTAAAGAAATATTTCATTTTGTTATTAACAGGAAAGCAAAAGAATGAATTTTCAAAACCTAAATTTAAGAATAACTCTAAACTTTGAAGGTACATTGCTAGACCTAATACATCAAATTCTTTTTCTTCACGGTCTTTTAAATGCTCATCAGCTAAATGCCTTGCAGTTCTTCAAAGTAATCAATTATTGGACCTTCTAAGAGCTCTTATACTCCCTCCACCTATGACGGTATTTACCATTTTAAATGTCATAATAGAGAGCATGTCTATAATCAAAATGGAGCTAAACCAATGACTTCAGAAGTACATTGTACAAGAAGAAAATAAAATTGCCGAACCACATGATGATTTATTACCTTATAATAGTGAATTAAATTTCAATGATGATTGTCAAGTAGGTGACATAAGGTGTTTCATTTTAGATAGAAATTAGAACTTATACTGAGAAATGAAGAAGAAAATGTATTGTTTACATGGTTGATATGATGAATGAGAAGAAGTGTAAAGCAAGTCATCGACGGCGGTACTGCTATAAATGTCATCTTTACCCACACTTGACCTAGGGCAAATCTGAAATATGAACCTCACATTGAGCCATTTCATGTTAGTTGGTTGAAACACATTTCTTCATTTTATCAGCAATGGCTGGTTCTTCTTGAGTTCGAGAGTCATAAAATTCAAATCTAGTATGTGATGCTCCCTCCCATGGGACTTGCTCATCTTCTTCTAGGTAGAACCTGGTTATATAATATGAATGGCCTACATTATGAATGGGACAATACCTATGTTTATTTCATCACAAAACCATATAATTATTTACAACTAAACCTCATGACAAAATCCCCAAACAAACTCCAACAAGCACATCATTTGGCATTCAATATTGTTTTGGGATCTTGTGAAAACAACATATACATGTCTTCTAGTTCAATTTCAGATTTTTCAACAAGTTGGAATAAATTATTTAAAAAGTGTATTTATTTACCTTTCACCCTTTTCACTTGAAAGAATCTTCCCTTACTGTAGAGGTTGATTTCTCCTATAGTATTCAGTTTTTAGTCTGAATAGACAGGTGTTGCTCTCTTAATTGTCTATCAAATTCCAACATTAGAAAAATTCAATATGAAATGGATTTTTACCAAGATCTCAATTGCCAGTTTACCACAAAATAACATGTATCCTGTATAAAATAGTGATCTAAATAAAAAAATCAAAGCCTTGCTAGTAAGAAGATTTCTTAGAAATCCCAAATCCATATGTTGCTCATGCCTTGCTCACTACAAAGAAAGATGGCTCTTAGAGGATGTGTTTTAATGATCGAGCAATTAACAAAATCACCATCAAATATAAGTTCCTCACACCAAGACTTAATGATATGTTGGATTGTATTTCTCGAGCCACTTATTTCTTCAAGATTGATCACATAAGTGATCATCACTGAATTGGAATAAGACCAGAAAATGAATTAAAAACTGCTCTTAAAACTTGTAATAGTTTATATTGGTGGCCAATGCTGCTTTTTGGCATTTCCAATGCACCAATCACTTTTATAAGGTTGATAAAAATAGTGCTAAATACATTCAATGAAAAAAATATGGTTGCCTACATTGATGAGATTTCTTGAACAAGTCATAATTAGAAACAATATTTAAATCGCCTCGGACAATTTTTTTGAAAACAATAAGAAAAACTTTATACAAATCTAAATAAATGCTTGTTCATGCATGTTGAGATTATTTCATACAATTTGTTGTTTCTTCTGGTGTACATAAGGCTGGTCCTTAAAAAACTCAGGTTATTCTTGGTTGGCCAATCCCTACTTCTTTCATTGAGGTTAGAAGTTTTCATTGATTAACAACCTTTTATAGAAAGTCCATTTTAAATTTCAATTTTGATGCTACTCCTCTAAACAATATTCTTGAAAATAATAAATTTTCTTAGAGCCTAACTACCAAAAAAGCATTGTAATGAATAAATTATAATGACTTCTTCCACAGTCTCAAAATTGTCTGATTTCTCAATAAATGTATGACGTAATGTGTTATGCATTTAACATGGGAATCAAAATACTAACTCAATAACAACACTTTGTAGACTTTTTCAAAGCAAACTTGAATGAGACAAGGCAAAATTATTTCACATATGAAAAAGAATTTTAACCCATCATTAAATTGCTTAGAGATAATAGACACTACCTTTTAAACAGAGTTTATATTAAATGCCAACCATCAAGCCTGTAATACATAATTTAAAAAAAAATTAAAAAAAAAAAACTCAATCATAGACATGTTAAATGAAAAAGTGTTAAATCACAAATTTGCCATTTTAAACAAACTGTTCATGTTCTATCTAGCTTTCTGCATTCATTTCTCCCTTAGAATCTCATGTTCTTGGATTTGAAAGATTAAAAGAAGCCCAAATCTTGTCCCGATTTTCACATTCATTTCCATAAGTTCAAATCAAACTATTATACGGGGTCAGTTGTTATTTTGTCATAAATGAAGAAGAATTCAAATATGTATCTATAAAGCATCTACAAGAGATTATCTTATTTCTGACTACATAATAAAGAAGTAGTTATTCGCTTTTAAAAAGATAAAACCACAACTTTAATTAAGCATAAATTTTACTTGCTATACCTAAAAAAAAATGTGATAAGAGTTAAATCACACTATTCAAGTTGAAGGCAAGCTATAACTGTAAAACAGACAAGCTACATACATGGCACTACTCGTTCCCTGCAGATCATCGTAAGATATTTCAACGAAATTTGCTTCATAATTGGTTAGGGGACACTGAGGAAATGGCAGTATATTTATAATGTTTGGCAGGTTCTCCAAAATAGTAAGTTTTTGCCCTGTCATAAAACTAATGATGCCTCATACATTACCAACCTTATTTCAATGATATTGTTAAGCTTCATAATTTACCAACTACCATTATTTTTATAAGGATGTTCATTTTATTTCTTGTGAAAAATAATATGGATACTAATGGGAACAAAACTTTAAGTTCTCGTTTATACTTTATCCCCATGCTGATGCACAACAGAAACAGTTGATGAAAAACTAAGCAATATCATAAGATGCCTAGTAGGAAAACACTTGAGATTTGCATCTTCCAACATTTGAATTTGTGTCCGATAGTATAATATCAACAATAAAACTCGGTTTTAGTTTGTCTATGGATCAAGCCACAATAAATAAAAATAAAAAAGCATAAGTTTAATTGAATCAAAATGCAACGTCAGATCAAAATACCCAGAATGTGAAAGAGAACTTCTAGATTTGTAATCTCACATACCAGTAAGCGTTCAATAAAACCCAAATATCCCAGTAAACTTAAAATAAAATAAAATAAAATAAAATAAAAAATAAAACATTTAAGAAAAACCATACATATAGGAAATCCTTACAAAGCAGGTCAAGGTATCAAAAGAAATTTAATGGACATGTAGAATGTTAAAAAATTAAAATTGGTAAAACAAGCCAAAATAACGTCTAATGATATGATATGACGAAGAAACAAAAAGGAGAGCAAAACAAATATACCAATCCAAAAGATTGACTTGGATCTTGAAAATGGCAGTAACATCAATAGTCTTTGTATGACAAAGAAATGTAGCAATCATGATTTAATCATTGCATCCGGAATAGAACAATAATAGCAAGGCAAGCAGACCAACATCTCACCAACAGTTAATATAGTAGAAAGATACGTAATGAAGAAGGTAGAGAAGGAGATACATGTAAGCTATAAGTTAATGGGTTGAAATATAATTTTTAATGCTTACCATAAAAGGCAATGCAAAAACTCCTGATTTAGGTATCTCGTCCTCTTCTTCCATGGCCTTGATTGTCTTCTCTTTCGCTTTATTAAGAAGTTTAGAAACTCCCTCACTATCCGAACAGGGCAAAAGTTCATTTGAATCATCATCACTAGTTTCATCACTGCTGCTATTCTCATTCATAGAATTCATTTTCCTTGTTAGTAGAGCATGTTGTTGAAGTTGTTCAGCAATAGCAGTCCGAGTGCCTTCATCTTGAGCTTTAAATCCTCTCTTCAAAATACGTTTTGCCCACTTCGAGCTGTTTTTGTGCTTCAGTGTCATGCGCTCCTGTAGAATATTATAAATGTCAAGCAATAAACGCCAATGTACATTCAAAGGATGACTAGAACTGGTAGTAAATTAGTGATATCATAAGCATGAAAAATATGTTAAGAATGGAATTCACCTCGGCGCGTTTAAATTCCTGCTTAATAGCAAGTTCCTTGGCAGCTTCAGGATCCACATTTGCCTCAGCTGAGCCTGCTTTCCGTCTCTCCTTCTTCAGTATACGATGATAAGTCTTTGACTTAATATTCTTAATATGTTTAGCCTTCATTTCATGACGGAAAAGAAGGCTGCGCATTTTAGCAAGACGATTTTGGTGATCCATTACATCCTCAATTGTTACCTGTCATAGTGTTGAAATAGTCAAGGAGAATATAACAATATCAATAATCTCGATGGGATAAAACCCTGAACAACAGGTCAAATGAAGAAAAAATGTCAACTTCAACATCCATAAGAACAACAACAAGAAGCCTTTATCCCATTAAGTGGGGTCGGCTACATGAATCCTTTTTCTCAATTGCATCCTACTGGGTGTCATATTTTCAATTAATTCTAATAGATTAAGATTATTTTTTATACAATAAATCTAAGTTTTTTTAGATCTACCTCTGCTTGTCTTAACATGAGTCGAATCTTCAACATCCATAAGAAAAAAAAATAAAAATTTGCAATAAATGTATTTAAAGGGAATATTCATGAAATAAATCTTTGAAATAACAAATAACTTAAAAAAGAGATACAGTGGAGTTCTACAGAAATTGAAATGAGACCTGAAAAATACCAAGGCTTGGCTCTTTCAATTTAAAATAAAAGGAAAAGCATAACTAAATTGAAAATCAATATACACTAGGATATGCTTTATCAGCGAAAACTACAAGATTAAGAAACCATCAACAAATCAGAGTAACAAGCATTAGTAGTTAAATATAATGCAAACAATACAATTAAAAAAATTTAAAAAAACAGATATAGATAGATTGAAAAACTCTTTGTGATCAGCAGTATTACAAAATTTCAAATTTCAAGAGCAACACGTTGACACTAGGGCATCTCAATAAAGTTGTGGTTGCACTACTTAGAAAATGACTCATTAACAAGATCCACTTTTAAGAATATATATGGTTATTTATTAAAAATCTAAACTACATATTTATTACCCTTGCCAAATGAGAACCTTCTCTATCTCCTCTCTTCACATTTCCTCACTCCCCCTATAGCTATGCCCCAACATAACTAGCATGAACACGTCAGGAAGTTGGCACTTCATCCCCACATTCAACATCAATATCATTTCACCTCATCTGTTGCACTTCTTTAGCTCAGAGAAGAATTGACATACATGCAATTGATTTTCAACAGATGAGATGGAACCAAAGTAATCCAAATCCAGTTGTAGGACGGGATAGTGCTTAACAGAGATGTAACTAAATATTGCTTGCTGATCTTGGTTTACAACAATTTCTAGAAAAAGAACAAATTGGATAATTCATCTAACATAAATAATCTGATAATAAATTCTAAGCGAATCAGCCAACACTATAAATTTCTTCAGTTTAAAAGCAATTTTTTTTCCTGATCAAATCAACGTGATAAAATAGCCTTCAGTGTGAAACGTCATTAAACTTCAAGCCTGCTTGGAGCAGTTGTCGAACTTATTGGAAATTGATTACAGAACATAGACCTAGAAGACCTGAATGACAGCTACAACAGCTGCTAATTCCTGAAGATAACTATTCTGAGAGATCAGTTATTTTTTGTATGATTGCTAACAAATCAAATCTTAAAAAAATTGCTAAATTAAACAAAGGGTAAATTACTTTTGACTTCCGCACAGATTAAAAAAACCTGCCAGCCTTGTAGGTTTAGAAACCCTCCTTAGTAGCTATATGATCGCAAAGATTCTTCTGATAATAACTGCCGTCAATGCAATATTCTGAATCAACCCAGTCAGATGTCACACTTCTTAGAATTATAACTATTTAACTATCAGTTCTTATTAAAGCTTGCTGTTGAAGAGTTGAAATTAGAAAAAACTCTGTAAAAACAAATCAAGTGCACCTTTTTTTGCATCACTTCACACAATTGCACTTCCTTTGATTTCCTTATTTATTAATTTTTACCCAGATAAATTGCACTAAAGAATCTGAATTTTCTTACCAAAGAATTTCAGATTTATAATTGCATATGGTTTAGCTGACTTAGAAGCTTTAAAAAGGCCTCGTCACATATTACAAAGAAACGATGGACAAAAGTTTCAAATAAGAATTTCTTTCCATCATATCCTCGTCTCACTGCTCTAAATCACCTCCAGGCTAAATATAAACCAGTCCTCAATGTCAGGCATGCAATCATTCTGCTCACCATCCAAATCCCTTCCATTGGCTCTGGCATGCAGGGGAAAATACCAGCACCAAGCATGAAACTTCTCAAACTACGTACATGATATACTCAGCAGTACTAAGGCCCTATTCCATGTCCTCAACCTCCTCATCCCCTAAATTTTCATTATCAGCAGCCAATGGTGCCTCGTACTCTTTTTCCACAGCTCCAAATATGCTATAATCATCCCCAAACACCCATTATTCCCATCATTCCCATCAAAAAGTATAAACAACTGGTAATTGATATTCATACATAAACTTCACCTCAGGCCCTCAAGATGGGCGACTCAATCAGCTAACATATATCCCTGGTTACTCCACATGCAAATCAATCTTGGTAGTGTTCCCCGGTAATTCAAAGATGGAAGATATCATATAATTAATGCTATAGAGAGTAAAGTTATAAATGGAACTTCAGATAAAATCTAATGAAAACATTATAAAATAATAATACGAAGAAGATTATAGTATAGAGTTCAAATAAGACAAGATGAAATATGTGCAGACATTATAGCAAAGTCAACAGTATCCTAAAATAGGGAAACGAATAAATAGAACAGGCATGCAAAAACAAGCTATGCAATAGTAACGAAATCATTGAAAAGGAACAACAACAACAACAAGAAGCCCTTATCCCACTAAGTGTGGTTAGCTACATGAATCCTTTTTCTTCAATGGGTTGAATTGAGTGTCATATTTTCATTTAATTCTAATAGATTAAGATCATTTTTTCATACAATATGCTCTAGTCTTTTTAGGTCTACCCGTCTTTCTTGACATAAGTTGAATCTAAAACATTTAATCTCCTAACCGGATCATCAGATGGTCGAAATTTAATGTGACCAAAAAATCTAAGACGACTCACTTTAATCTTGCTCGTCACTGGAGCTACACCAACCCTATCACGGATATATTCGTTTCTCATTTTGTCTCAAAGTGTCAAGTCACTCATCCACCTAAGCATTCTCATCTCAGCAACACTTGACTTTGTTTTATGCTTCACTTTTAAAGGCCAACATTTTGTGCCATAAATATTGCAGGTTTCACCACCATTTTATAAATTTTTTCTTTAAGTCTAAGCAACACTTTTCTATCGCACAATAGGCCCAATGCATTCCTCCATTTCACTCAACCAACTTGAATTCTACTAATAACATCCTCATCTATATCACCATCACTTCAAAAAATAGACCCGAGATATCTAAAACGTTCACACCTTTTAATGATTTGATCACCCATAGTTACAACTCTATCACTAGAACAACTACTACTAAAATTACATTCTATGTATTTAAACAAAAGCCTTTAGACTGTAATGTAGACCTCCATAATTCAAATTTTCCCTTAATTCTTTCTTTAGTCTTGTCCACAAGAAGAATATCATCAGCGACAATCATACACCAAGGAACATCCTCCTATACATGTCCCGTAAGAGCATCCATAACTAAAGCAAAATGATATGGGCTTAAAACAGATCTCTGATGTAATCCAACTAAAATAAAAAAAATACTTGGTCAATTCTCCTCCTATTCGAACACGAGTAACAACCCTAGTATATATTTAATGACTTGTATAAGTCATGTCAATCTATAGCTCTCCAAATAACTTCTCTTAGAATCTTATCATAAGCTTTTTCTAAATTAATAAAAATTTAATCCTCCTTACTCACTTAGTACTTCTACATCAAACATCTCAATAAATGTATAGCTTCTACATAGACCTATCTGGCATAAATTCAAACTGATTATGAGAAATCTTTGTATCACGTCTAAACCTAAGTCAATTACTCTCTCCCATAATTTTAATATATGGCACATCAACTTAATTCCCCTATAATTTGCACTCTTCTACATTCCTTTTTTTCTTAAAAATCAAGACCAAAATATTCTTACTCCCCTCCTAAGGCATCTTTTTAGTTTTTAAAATAATATTAAAGAGTTGTAAGTCAAAAAATTATCTAATCACCTAAAAATTTCTACGAAATAATTGGGATATAATCAGGTCCTGCTTTCACCCTTAGTTTTCTTTAAAGCTTCTTCAACTTCTTTTTTACTAATGTGATTAAAAAAATAAAACGTTTTATTATAATTAACGATATTAAAATCACTAAAGTCTATTGGAAACTTCATTGAAAATTTTATCAAAATAGTTCACCCACCTATGTTAAATATCCTCCTCTAAGAAAAATACTTTTTGATTCTTATCTTTAATACACTTCACTTGAATTAAATCTATACTTTTATTCTTTGTTTGGGTAGTTTATACATATATTTTTTCCCATTTTTTAGTACCTAATATATTATAAAGATCACTAAATGCAGACTTCTTAGAATTTTTAGCACCACAATTTGTTCTCTTAAATTCCCTACAAGCCACCTTATATTTTTCTAAGTTCTCCAAGCTTTTACATATAAACCAAATTTTATAACACAGCTTATTATATTTTATCTTTTCTTGTGCATTATAATTCCACCACCAACTATTTTTATTTTGAAAAAAATTTTCTTTTGATTCTCCAAGTACATCATTGGTTAATAGTGCATGTTACTTTATCCCACATAAAATTAGTTTCTTCATGAACATCTCAATTTTTAAAATAATGAAATTTAATCATACAAATATTTTTATTTGTGTCTTTTAGGTGTCCACATCTATTTCTATGAAAATATTTCATTATATTTATTATCTTACAACTCATCATCTTAAAATACAGAAATAAAAATTGATGTTGAGAACTTAAATTTTCACTTGGAACGACCTTACAATCTTTACATTCTTGACCATCTCTTGTTCTCATAAGAAAATAATAAACATATTTTATTAAATCTACTCTTATAAGTAACAATATGCTCATCTCTTTTCTTAAATAAAGTGTTAGAAATTATAAAATCATGCACTAAAACAAAATCTAAAATGGTTTTATCTTCTTCATTAATCACTCCAAAATCGTAGCCATCATGAATATTTCTAAAATCTTCTAACACTCTACCAACATGTCCATTTAAATCTCCTCCAATAAAAATTCTCTTTTCAAGAAGTATCATCTGTATTAAATCTTCTAGGTCATTCCAGAAAATTTTTTTGAGCCTATATCTAAACCATATTGAGGAGCATAAATATTTATGATATTAAAATCTTAATATTAACGACAATCTTTATGACTATAATTTTATCTCTAATTCTATTAATTTTTACAACATTATCTTTCAAACTCTCATACGTTATTTCTAGTGCAACTTCTACATGAATACCAAAACTTAAAACCTAAGTTATCAATCTCCTGAGTCTTTTTACCAACCCATTTAGTTTCTTGAATATATAAAATGTTTATCTTCCTATGAATCAAAATATTTACTAATTCTATTAATGTACCTTTGTGAGTACCTATATTCCAAGATCTCATCCTAAAATTAATTTCATAGACTAACATTTTTGTCTGCATCCGTTTGTGATGTGGAAACTCTTGCTGATTTGACACCAAACTCGGACACCGATATAGCATAAGCCATTTAGAAGGAACCTCATTATAAATTAACAGAATGAAAACATACATATTAGTTTCATTCCTATTTATCAAGCCAATATGTGTGTGTGTGTGTGTGACTACGCACACACATAGATAGATATATCTATATCATACATAAATATATACAAAAGATTAGTTTAAATAAATGGAAGAGATTATAGTACCTTGTTGAGCTCTAAAAGTCTAGCACCGTCCTTCCTATGAGCTTCCATTACCGCTGGGTCACCAATAAGTGCAGCCATTTTCTTCTCAAACTCTGTCCTTGGTTTATACTCAGCAGCAATTGTTCCGACAGTGTGCATCCCCAGGTCTATATCTTCACCAAAGTAAAGAGTAGGAGCCTCTCTGTTCCTCTTAACTAGCGGCTCCCATTTTGTAATTTCCTTTCTCGATTTTTCGTATGTCACTTTCCTCTCCAGTTTGTCTTTCTCCACTTTCGGGAGAGGTGCCTGAATAGCCATTGGCGCCTTTTCCAGCTGATGCAACCTCTTCCTGAGCTTGCTGTACCCAGCCTTCCCATGAAGAGGATCCAACAAATCTTTGATAGTTATCTGCTGGCCCCCAAAATCACCTTGCACACCGGATAACGTCGCAACCTTCTTTTGTTTATCTACAGGAAAGTCCAAAAATCACATTTACATCGGAAAAAGAAAATCCTAACAATAGGGATAGGCATCAAGAGTGCAACTTTGCTCTTCAGGTAACAGGAAGGAGAGAATAATAAATACCTTCGAAGGCCTCAGCTGGCAATCCAGTGATTGACTGGAGCATCCTCACATGCTTCTTACCAGCATCCTCATCATCCCCTTCCTCGTCTGCCAAACCTTCGTCTTCATCCGAGTGCACGTGTTCATCATCGTCCGACGGCACGTCCTCATCCTACATTTGAAATAAGGCGAATAATCATAAGGAATGCAAATGATGGACAGGACCAAGTTCACGAGTAAGAAAAAATAGAGGCACAAACCTTGAAGTCGTCAGGAAGCTCGTACTCGTAGTTTTCAACTAGATCGAAGCGCCGATTCTTCTTCGTCTCCTCCTCCGGGAGTGCCTCCTCGTACTCGTAGAGGTCCTCAATCTCCTCCTCCCCTTCCTCTCGGTCAGATTGGTTAGGGATGGGCTTCTCGAGCCCGAGCTCTCTCAGAAAGGAAGAAGGAAGGTGAGGACCAGACTTAGACCTGCGTCCATCCTTCGCCGCTTTCTTGCTCTTTTTCTTCATACTCTGAGTATAATTTAGGGTTTTCGAGGCAGTATGTGCCTTCCTTCTCTCGCGCTTCGCCTTCTTCTGGTTCTTGTCCGCCATAGTCGAATAAGAGATCGGGGTAGATTGAAGGCGCTGCGATTTGCAGGGAAGGGCGCCGCGATCAGATAGCTTTGCGGAGGGTATTGGTGAGGGGCTGTCTGGCAACGGATTTATACCAGGATTTAAACTGGATTTATGCTAAATCTTGCCAGGCAATCAGTTTGGACAAAATAAAGCCACGGAATTCATATATCCGGATTTCACGGATTTCGGTCGTAAATCCCGGATTTACAAAATCCTGCTGTTCGGCGGATTTCGTAAATCCGGGAAGAGCGAAGGAAAGAATGGCGCGAACAGGCTCACCTTCCCCAATCGTTTCGAATAGGGACGGAGCGGAAGGAAGATAAGATGGGAGTTTCGGAGGTTACCGTACGCCACTATCCCGTCGTTGCCTTCCCAGCAAGCTCTAATCGCGACTGTATCGCGAGGGTTCGGTCAAGAAGGCGATGGTTTTGGGCAAAATGGCGAGAGTGGGAGAGACATAGACGAGGGTTCGGGAAGAGAGGGAAGAGAGGGAAGAGACCAGGAGAGCGGGGCTGGGGAGTGATGAAACGAGGGTTTCGGCCGGAAGGGGAGAAGGGAAGGGGTGATAGGTTTGTGGTATTAATTAATTTTATTCAAGTTAATTTTATTAATTAATTTTGACAACTAATTAATAATTAATTAATATATTTTCATATTATTTTCCATTAAACCATTTTGATACATAATTATTTAATATTTAATCAATAATAATAGTGCATATTAAATTTTCATTTTCTTAATAAAATTATAACTAATTATTAATTAATATAATTTATAACAACCTAATTATTAATTTACAAATATTAAACTATTGCTTAATAAATAAATAGTTTAATAAATTTTGTGTTAACAGTTAACTATTTAATGAATAATTAATTATTAATTAACATAATTAACAATAAAATTTGAATTTAATTTAATTTAATTCAATTATTAAATTTTATCATAATAATAAAATAATCAAAATTTAGTTGATCCTACTTGGTGAGAAAAAAAAAATTTTTTGTTGTTATTGTAAAAAAAAATAATCCAAATTTCATTATTATTTTAGTTCTAATAAACATGACACATTTTTAAAGTCTGACATAGGTTGTCAAAACAATTTGATAATATTTAACTGGATTTACTAAATCCACTGTCAAATACTTTTTAGGATTTGAAGTCTCACATAAGTTGTCAAACAATTTGAAAAATATTGTAGCTGTGTCCAAAGGATTTGACACTATCGCTATATAGTAGCAACTTAGAGTGGGACCAAAAACCAAGTTTAATAGCCTTACAAAATTGTGGAGGGAATGTCATGCAACTACATATGAGGATGATGTGATGGCCATATGCCATGAAATGTTGCAAACATGACCTACAACCTCAAAAAGGGAAATAGTGTAGTGTCACCTAGAGGATGCCTCCATGGCTATGGGGCCTAACTAAGGTCCTAAACACAAAGAGAACACTTGTAAATGAGGCCAAATAGAGGAAATTTAGAGACCTCATAAGTTTTCTCTAACAGTAGATAATCTTATCATCTCTGACACATAGGCCCAGGAGCTCTAGAGAAAAAAAATGCAAAAGGAGGAAGATCTTCACTTATGTGATGGTTGATGATGGCCCAAAGATTTGAACGCTCTGACGGATGTCTAATACAAGCTCCTCCTGCGGTTAAGACTACTTCATCTTTAATGGTGGGAGCGTAGAGTTGAGTGTGTAGAGTGAAGAGGAAGAATACCTATCTCATAGACTAGGAATGACCCAAAAATATTAAGGGCTTCCAATTCTCTAACACTTGTGAACTCAATAGGGATAATTGGCTTAAAAAACCAACCTTATGAGTAGCCAAAGGTTGCCCCTTTTATAAGGTTCTAAGTCAGTATAATTGTTGCATACATGGGGGCACCTTGGCATCATTGAAATAATGTAAGTCACATCAACCAATAAGAAAAGTTTGTCGCTCGAGGATCTGACATGTTTCAATTAGGTGTCGCGGCGCAGATGTGGCCACTTCCATGTAAGTCATCATGGTGGTGGTTGTTCAATTAAGAGTTGTCTTGGGGATAGACAAAGGTGTAGTTGTCGTATCACCGCTGACATGATTATTATCATTGCCACATCAGCGATTACAATGTTGTTTGTCCAATCAGAACCACCCAAAGTCTAATGTAATTAAGGCACTTCGATGCCATACTAGGTGTCAATGCTTCGATAGAGGGAGTTCATAGTTGAATGTATAGGGTGAAGAGGAAGGCTCCCCTTCTCATGGACTGAGAATGATTCAAAGATCTTAAGGTTTTCCAATTCTCAAACACTTATGAACTCAATATAGACAATTGACTTAAAAAATCCAACCTTAGGGGTAGCCTAAGGCTGGTTTCAAAGTCAGTTTGACACTGTAGCACTAATGGGGACACCTTGGAATCATTGACATAGCAAAAGTCACATCTACTAATAAGAAAAGTTTGTGGCTCGAGGATCTAATATGTGGCAGTCAGGCACCAGAACTGCCTTTAGTGTTGTTGATGTGGTTGATTTCCAAATAAGCTACCATGATGGTGGTTTTCCAATTAGGAGTTGCCTTGGGATCAATGATGGTATAGTTGTCGTAGCACCACTGACATGGTCATTGTCATATCAGCGATCACAATGATGTTCATCCAATCATAGCCACCCAAATACTAGTGTAGTTAGAGTGCAACGACGTCATACTAAATTTCATAGTGGAAGCATATCATGTCATCCATAACTTTTGAGATTCAATAATAAGAAAAAAAAATGCCTATGTTGGCAATGGGGTGTTCTAGATGGCACCTAGATTCTGAGCTGGAGTTTTTGTTGTTCTGTTCTATCGACTAGATGATTTTATATCAAGACTTGTAGGAAAATATAAGAATAATAATATGCACAATAAGAAATCCAAGACCCTACATAAAATATCATATTTATCCAAGATAAGTCTCCCCAAGGGAGTGCAATCATAATAAATAGAATAAGGAGCTTCACAAGAGGAACAACCATAAAATCTTATGAGGGTAGGGGTGGGGGTG